CCCCAAAACCCCAAAACCCCAAAACCCCAAAACCCCTTTTTATAAGTAAATATTGAATATGAAACGGGAACGTTGAAGAAAACTACTTGAAAAGAAGCAGAGGATCAAGAAACGTAAACAACTAGAGAACAAGAAGAAAGGAATTATGCAGTAAGCCTATACATAACCCATAGATGAGACGTTGACTTCCAACTTATGGTGGAGCACGAGAAAAGCAAAGTTGTGAACCAAAAATAGCCATAAAATCCCTGATTTAAATAAAATTAATATTTGAGTCCGGAAAAGGCCGCTATTTCATAAAGAAGCTGTCAAGGGAGAAATAGACATTATTTCATGAGTTAATCCTGCGATCTTGGTGCATAAGCGTAAACTCAAGGTTGATGGCACAACAAGTATCGAAAATTGAGGGTTTGAGTTTGACAACACCTTCAATCAGAATGAAACTTCAGACTCTCTCTATTATTCGAGCATTCAGCCTCAGATTGACTTTCTCTTTAATGGAGGAATTGTAACATGCTTTGCTTATGGACAAACTGGCTCGGGTAAGACCTTCACAATGGAAGGCGTTCAAAAGCTTGTAGTCAATGATTTCTTCGCGGGAGCTAAAATTATGAAAGAAGAGACACAGAAAAGATTTACATTCACAGTCACTTATTATGAAATTTACAATGGAAAAGTATTTGATTTGTTTGATAGGCACAAAGAGAAGAAAGTTCTTGAATCAAAAGATAAGAAAATTAAAATTCCGGGACTCAAAGAGGTTCAGGCAAGAACTGCAGAAGAGATGATACAGTTGATTGAATACGGACTTAGTGAAAGGCAGACAAAGAAAACAGTGTGAAATGATACCTCAAGTAGATCTCATGCGGTTGGGACTATTAGTATCAAGCAAGTAAATAAAAAGAACCAAGTGATAGCTGATTCTGGTAAACTATTGTTAGTCGACTTGGCTGGATCTGAGAACGCACAGGCTTCCCAAGATAATTCAAAAATAAGAAGAAGCGAAGGAGCAGAAATCAACACTTCTCTCTTATCGCTGAAAGAGTGAATTCGAGCCATGGATCAAGGTAAAAAGCATATTCCCTTCAGAAGATCCAAACTCACAATGGTATTGAGAGATTCATTTATTAGCGGAAAGAAAAAGAGCCATGTTATTATGATTGCTTGTATTTCTCCAGATGGTTCTTCTTCGGAACATACTTGCAACACTCTCAGATATGCTGAGAGGCTTAAGATGACATCTTCAGATAGTTGAGCAACAATCAAAAAGTTTATGAAGAATAAGAAAAATCGGACCCAACCGATTGATTTCTACTACGAAATTTCAGAAGATGAAATAAATGAAGAAGACAACGTTGAAGATGAAGAACAAGTAGAGGATGAAGATATAAAAGATGAGTATTTTAGTGAAGAAGACCAAGAAGCAAATCCTATCTATTCCTCTCAAGGAGATCGCCAAATAGAGGAGCTTGATGAAATAGATGAAGAATTAGAAGAAGATAACATTTATGAAGAAGAAAAGTATTCTAATGAAGAAGATTACTTTGAATGACAAAAGGAAAAATACTCAAGTCATCCGGATTCTCTAGGAAGTAATGAACAGAGAATAAATGAAACTGAGGAGTCTAAAATTTATCACAAGTATCTTCCAGAATCATATTCAAAGCAGATGATTAGAATGGAGCATGAAAAAGAGGAGGATACTCAAAATAGAACCCAAAATCAAATAGAGAATCATTTCGGGAGCTCTAAATTTCAGCCTAGCTACAACTTAGACTATTCTTCTTATTATAGAAAAGCATATGTAGGTCAGAGATACAATGAAGATGAAATTATGGAAGAAGAGCCAGACACAAAAGTATCTCAAAAATATAACCAAAAATATTCGAATTACAAACCAATTCAGGAAGATGGATACAACTCAAATTCTTTCAGAAACAATAGGACAATGGTTCATTCTGGGAGCAGTGGATCTCTCAATTACAAGAGACCTCCTAAAGAATCTAAAATAGACTATTATAAAGATACAAACCCAAGACTCCAGCCTGCAAGCACTTCAGGGTACTTTCACAAGACAGATAAATATTTGAAAAACCCTAATAGCAGCAGCCATAATCAGATCTACAGAACATCATATCTAATAGACTCTTTAAAATCCGAAGAATTAGGTTACACAGACAGAAGAGAAGACATAAAAGTCAACTTCCCTTCCAACTCCAATGGGAAAGGACACCGCGATAATTTGAAGTTAAAATATAAGAACCTAGTAAGCCAGAGTAGTTATGGCAAGTCAATGGTTGCAAGTTATAATTCATACTTCAAACAAGATGGTGGAGAATTGTGTTCTACCACAGCTGATTCCTAAATAGCTATTACAGAGAGATTATGCTATTTGGAGATTTAAATTGATTTTTTTAAACTCTCAATCAAGCAAATATAATTGGGGTTTTGGGGTTTTGGGGTTTTGGGGTTTTGGGGTTTTGGGG